AATGTACCACGTCCACGGTCCTACTCTGGAGACGATGATGCATACAATGGACTCCGGACTAGGTGCGTTTGTTTAAGTCTTCCTACCAATATGACCATGTTGCGAAAACAAGGTCAAACAACCTCTTCCATATAAGGTTGGATTGAGAAAAATAGATGCAGCACTAGAAGGTGGAACGAAAGATGGCAAGGGATAATCCCACAGCTATTGAAAAGAAAATTGGCCAAGGAGATTGCCTTCACTTGGCACTCTGTTCTAACGATGATGCCTCTCACTGACGATGCCGATTACGATACCGGCGAAACGTTTGGCAATGTACTAAGTCAGTCACGAATACTATGATAGAGGACACAGGAATAGGTATATTCCCCGAGTTCGCCCTGACACTCTGAACAAGTTGCGAAAACAAGGTCGAGCCAAATCTTAACTAAATGTTGTCTGTATTTGCCTTTACGAGTGACAAGATTACTAGGCTTCCTGCCCTTATTAAAGCTCTACTGGTAGCTTCTAAACCTTATAACTTATTGTAAATTCGTATTGCATTACCTACTCGAGATAATGGACACATAATTCATGGGCAGATGTCATGGACACATAATTGGTTTTTATTGTCTCATTCATGATTAGAGGCCACTTCAAGTAGGATTTGTGAATCGTAACGAGTCCCGAGTGCTAGTGAGGCTCACCGTGGGTCACATAATTCTCTGTGAACTTATGAGTTACTCATAAGTGATCACTAGTGTGTTATTAAATGGTGGGCTTAGGAGCTAACCAACTTTACTCCATACCTTATCCCAAAGGTGAAATAATCTATTCCAGTGGGGAAATAATCATATGCGACTAAGCGTCCATTATACACAAAGCCAGCAATATAACTAATAAATATGTATTCACCATATTTCGTTTAAGGTGATAAGGCCTGGCAGTTGAAATTTTCCATTGTGATATGAGTAGACCTTACATTTCCATTGAATTTTATATAACCTTTCTTTCTCACAAGTTATTCTCTTCTAGAGTGGACTGCAGTTTCGATCTCGCCTAGGTCTTATCAACACCCCCAGCGTTACTTGAACCATGACAGTGCGGCGTATAATTTCGACACGTTAGTGACTACGCCGCATTTTCACGAATACCCTTAGGTAACTGGCAAGATGTGAATTTCTAGGAAGGCCAGACATTTCACCATATCACATTCTGTGGTGGGATTGTCCATGAAGCAATGTTATATTTGTTATAGTAATCGACTACATTACTTATTTTTCATTTATGAGTAGATATTTATTACTGCCAGTAGATCATTTGAATGTGTATTTACCCTATTTCGTTTAAGTTGATAAGAGGAATGGTTGTTGAATTTTCCCAGTGATGTGAGTTGGCCTTCGCTTCCATTTCATTTACCATAAACTTTCTTCTTTTGTCTCAACATCATCATTTGTTTACTTTTGACCATAAACTTTACTCTTAACATTTTTGTCTTTTTCTTCAATTATCCAAGATAGACTCAATTCTTTCGTTCTATAAGCCACACCTAAGTTTTTTCTTTAAATCCTGTATTTCACTTTTATCCTTATTTACTGACCCATGTTTAATTTTCATTTAGCATCATTTGTATGGTATTTACATTGTATTTAACATTAGCTTTCGTTTGTGTAAATTAAGTGTTTTATTTTTACATTAATTTTTTTTTCGTTTTTGAGTAACCCTTATGTTTTTTTGTTTTTTTTACGATTTGTCTACCGTAAATTGACTTCACATCTAAAAACTAAGCCTCCGACCTACCCTCTATGGCCCCTAGAAACTGGTCTGACACTTCTTATCAGAATGCCATCAATTCTGTCCACTCTCCATCTAGCACAATTATGTTGCAACCTGATGCAGAAACTGCGCTATTGTCGGCCCCCTCGATGAATAACGAGACCTCAGAAGTTTGTCAACAGCAGCCAGTAGGCCTCGACGCCTCAAGCTTACTACAACCCACGCAGCCAACGCCACCACCTCTTCCTCAAAGGTGGTCACTGATCACGGACCAACCTAATGACTGGGCTCTTCTTGACGGAGAGCCGAGTCAGGACACTGGCGAGTCGGGACCCGGAGTCGGAGCTCAATTAGTGAAGGCTCTACGCTTTCTTGGTATCTGGACAGACATAAACGCATCCTCTGTGAATACTGGAAACGTGGATTTAAAGGAGCAGATCGACTTTGAATACTTTCCAAGAACCACTATTTCCATCCCACCAACTACCTCTATACCAAATTTAGAAGGCTGGATTCGTCTCGTCACACGGATTTGGGGAGGCGAGGCCGAGCTAGAGCTGCGAGCAGCGGAGGCGCGAGAACAGCTTGACAGATTTGCTGAATTAACTAGTCCAGATGGCTGTATGGAGGAGAACTTGCTGGTTCGGTAACTGAAGCTGGGTCATGAAGGCTAGAACTAGTTAAAGATGAATGCTTTTAGAACTATGGTCACTACTTTCAGGAATTTCGAAACCCAACTTTCTTTCCATACACCCCTTTTCACCTGTCAGAGATCTCTCTCCAGACCTATGAGTCTTATTTCAGTGTACTAAAATTGGAGAACTTCTATTGTTAATCTGCATTCTTAAATCCTATGCCATAAAACCTGCGTTTTCTCCTAATCCCAGAGATTCGCAAGTCACAGTAGAACAATTCAATCGGCAAAAGCATGCTTAGTTCAAGGGAAATTCGATCAGAGTGGCCGCATTTATATTTCCGGTAGCCTCTTCCATCTGTTACTCTAGTAGTAATATGAGTTCTTCGAACGCTTGTTACTACTTGCTTTTATAGGCTGTGTTCACCCTAGATCGCATACGTGTATAAAGGTCTGATAGTTGAGTTCCCTCACTTTAATGTGAGTAGGCCTCACGGTGCTAATGAATTGTAGTTAGTCTTGTCTTCCATAAAGTATTCTCATATATGGTAGACTGCAATCTCAACCATGACTTGTATATGCTATCATTAGGTCAGATGGCCACGAGTGCAAGACAGATGCGCAGTTCGAGACTAGATAAGTCCCTCTCATATCACATTTTATAGTTGGATTTTCGCTTAAGCAAACTGGTATTTTCTAATCAAAGGTATAAAGACCAAGGTAAATGGCCTTTCGTATTTTTTAAGTTACTTATATTCTCGCAAAGGAGGTCTTGAATAAGAACTTGATTTAACCTAGGTCGAACTATACGATGAAGGACAGATTCACTAAATTCAAGAAATTATCAATTCAGTAGCGCTAGAGCGAAATTTCTTAGAAATCGCATATTCTCTTGCAGCAACACTGACAGCGGACATAACACAAGCTATGTTTTACTGAATCACCTTCTCAGCCAGAATATTTCAAGAGCAATAGATAGAAATGATTGAGGAAATAATATGATTGATTCCTTCTGGATATGCACCAAGTCCGCGATCCGACGCTAGGAATCACGATAATTACTATAGCCAAGGACTTCGGACAAGGTATGTCCAGCTAAGTCTCCCTGATGATATGACCAAATTGCGAAAACTAGGTCAGATCACTTCTAAATGATATCACTTTAGAATTTATTTCTGTCCATAATCACACTTAACAGAAAATATCGTGGCTAATGCAAGTACTACAGCACGTATGATTGTTTCCACACATAAAATAATCAGTCGGAGGATTCTAAAACTTGCCAGTCGCCTCTATATAATGCTCTGTCGTTTTTCTAGAAACTTTCCCCTAGATACTTTAGTGACATTCTCAAGTGTTGATTCTTCAGTGGGCACTCTTATGCCAAACATTATATTCACCTTTGCTCAGCTCTGGAGCCATTCAAGACAATCTATTTTGGTAGCTCCAGGTATATATATCGAGTGTTATTGGACACAAAGCCATATAATGTTGAATTGGGAGCTAATATATATTTAAAATTAACCTAATTTTAATTAAGAATAAATACTGATTCAGTAGAGAAGGCAAATGAATCTAGCATTAATGGAGTAACTTAGTCCCATTATCCTTCCCTGATCATATTTTCTACTACAGCAAAACGTTTCCCTATTTTGATTATTTTATTGAAAAGAGTCTCCGATGGTCCTATTCAAAAGCTTAATCGAAAAATGAATTCCCAATTTGTGTTAGGCAGTCATCAAGCAAAGTTATCTCTAAGACTAAAGGTCATATATGACGAGCTTTTACATTCTAAATTAATTTAGAACCATAATTTTTGGTGCCCGTACCCCAAATTTCTTAACCCTTTCGCATGTTCGTGTGCAGATGTTGTATTAGCTAGCAAAACAACAACACAAGAGAGTTCCTCATTGATTTTCTAGCTTTAATAATGTTTTGGATTTGTCGAACGCAGTCTGTTTTGCCAATGATGTGACGCTAATGCAATAAGTGTTTTGGTATGCGAAAGATAAGTTAATCAACCCTCTAGAGAAAAATGTCAGTCCCCGCGAACCTAATCTTTACGTTCTGTCTACTCATATTTTTCCACAGAATGACTTACATCATTACATGAATGATTTTGGGGATTCTTTTATGCCCCGTCTTTATATTTAAGAATGAAACTTGCAGTAGAGTCATAGTATATCTTGAAGGTAACTTTTCTACAGACAAAACTTTTGTTTCATAGGAACTTGAATTGTTAACCAATTTTGGTAATATCCTGATAACAATGAATTAACCAGAGTATTTGATTTTAGAATTTCACCTATCTCTTCATTTATTCAGAAAAGAATTTCCCATTCAGACTCTACCTCAGTTTATAACTCCCTCGATCGTCTCATAAGTAACAAAGAGGAGATTCAAATTAT